TTTTAATATGTGTACTTAGCCAACCCTTTCAGCATAAAGCTCCTCCTTCGAAGTGCATCTCTGGTCTTGCCCAAGGGCATGCTTCCAGCCTGCAAGATGGCCACTTTGCTGGGTGTAACCCTCCATGATAAATAAAGTCAGACCTGGCATGGTGGTTCACACCTGTAATCCCAGCACTTTAGGAGGCCAAGGCAGGAGGATCACTTGAGCCCAGGAGTTCAAGACCAGCCTAGGCAGCATAGCAAGACCTCATTTTTACAAAAATAATCAAAAAAAATTAGCCAGGCATGGTGGCATGTGCCTGTATTCCCAGCTGAGGTGAGAGGATCACCTGAGCCCAGGAGGTTAAGATTGTGGTGAACTGGGATCGTGTCACTGCAATGCAGTCTGGGCGACAGAGTGAGACCCCCAACTCAAAAAAGAAAGAAAGAAGGAAGGAAGGAAGGAAGGAAGGAAGGAAGGAAGGAAGGAAGGAAGGAAGGAAAGAAGGAAAGAAAGAAAGAAAGAAAGAAGGAAAAGGAAAAGAAGGAAAAGGAAAGAAAAAGAAATAAAGTTGCCTCTCCTTTTCTAAATGTATAAATTTTGTGTGTGTGTGTTTTTAAGTTAACAGGTACCAGGCACTGTCCCATGCATAGATTGGGACATAGATTACCCATATGTACATAGATTACCCATTAAATCTTCATGACACCCTCATGGGGCACATACAACTATCAATCCCTTTTACACATGAGGAATTTGAGGCCAGGAGAGGTCAGGCAGCTTGCTCAGAATGGGAGGCTAGCTCAGAGCCCCAGTGCCTAGCCACTCCATTCTGCTGCCTTTCTGGCAACTCCTGCACCCTCACCTCTGGGAGAAGAGAGAAAAGTCCACAAAACATTATGTTAAAAGTTCCCCTAGAGAGTTATCTCTGGTGCCTGAAACTCTGTCGTTAGTTTCATTTCTTTGGATTACGGAATTGCCTCCTGTTAAAATTAAATACAAATGTAATCTGAATTACAAATAGCCACTGCTAATCATGAAATTCTATGGTACCCATTCTCACCCTTAGGGGATTTGTGAGAAATCCCCTAAGGACACTTTGCCTTACCCTCCCTGTGGTGAGGTACTTTAAGAACAAGACTGTAGTCATCCTCAAGTAGATCAAAGATAAAAATTAGAATTAAAAAATGTATTTTACTACTTTAAATTGAGAATATAGAGAAAGATATAAAATAGGGAAAGGAGATCTTTTTAAAAAAGAAAAAACCTTGGGTGTAGAGAGGTAGAGGCTTATTCTGTTTCCACTCAAATGAGATCACGTGGGCAAACACACATGGTGCCTACCCTGGAGCACAGAAGCCCTGGAAAGATCCATCTGAATTTACAAAAGCTCGGGTCAGTGAGCCGAGTTCCTCCTCAGAGAGAGCATTTGGCACGATCCTACCTTCCACTGGGCCCAGACTATATACAGAACAACATTAAGAGAACTGTGTAAAGCTAGAGGGGCCAATGACTAGAAAGTGGAATAGACCAAAGTATGAAAAAAATGCATCTCTAATGAGCAGAATAAATAAATAGGAAAACTGTCTTATATCAGTTTTGTATTCATGTGATGTTGGAGAGAAAAGGCAGATCATTCAATAACAAGAGATGTTTTGTACAAGGACAAGACAAGAAAGTCAGATTTTTAAAATTCACTTTAAATCAGCAATCGCAGATTATAATGAGTCTGAACAAAAAGTGAATTCTACAAGAAGGCCCGGTGGGGTGTGGTGGCTCATGCCTGTAATCCCGGCACTTTGAGAGGCCAAGGCAGGAGGCTTGCTTGAGCCCAGGGGTTTGAGACCATCCTGGGCAACATAGCAAGCCCTTGTCTCAACAACAACAACAACAAAATCAAAAAATGAGCCAGGCATGGTGGCATGCGCCTATAGTCTCAGTTACTTGGGAGGCTGAGACTGGGAGGTCAAGCCTGTTGTGAGCCATGGTCATGTCACTGCACTCCAACCTGGGTGACAGAGTGAGACCTGAGTCAAAAAGGAAGAAGGAAGGAGGAAGAGAAGAAAACCTAAGCTTTACCCTTTATCGTACCTCATTTTTCCTGCCAAATTTGTATTCGCCACTAGACTGAGCGTTCCACAAGCACAGGGACCATGAATTTTACCCTATAATCCTTGCACAGAGCCTGGCTCATAGTAGGTATTCAATAAATGTGTTAAATGAATTAGTGCTCCATCACTATGGTTTTGTGTGAATCATTAGGCTGATGAAGACATATTAGAAACCATGTCCAAAGTCAGACATAGTGGCTCTCACCTGTAATGGCAACACTCTCAGAAGCAGAGGTGAGAGGGCTACCTGAGTTCAGAGGTTTGAGACCAGCCTGGGCATCTTGGCAAGACCTCATCTCTACTAAAAAAAAAAAAAAAAAAAAAAATAGCCAGGTGTGGTGCACACACTTGTGTTTCAGCTACTTGGAAGGCAGAGGCAGAAGGATTACCTAAGCCCAGAAAGTCCAGCCTACAGTAACCATGAGCATGTCACTGCTCTCCAGCCTGGGCAATAGAGTGAGACTTCAACTCAAAAAAATTAAAAGGTTCAGTGGAACAGGCATGGTGACTCACGCCTGTAATCTCAGCACTTAGGGAGGCCGAGGCAAGAGGACTGCTTGAGCCTAGATGTTTGAGACCAACCTGGACAACATAGCCAGGTCTCATCTTTACAAAAAAGTTTTTTAAATGAGCTGGGCATGGTGGGAGGCGGAAGCAGAAGGAACACCTGAGCTCAGGAAGTTGAAGTTGTGGTGAGCCATGATCATGCCACCACACTCCAGCCTTGGCGACAGAGTGAGACCCTGACTCAAAATGAAAAAGGAAAGAAAGGAACAAAGGAAAGAAGGAAGGGAGGGAGGGAGGGTGGGAGGGAGGGGAAAGAGAAAGAAAGAAACCACATTCAAAATAGGCATAAGGAGAGGAAGCTCTTCTCTTTCTAGGCATGTCACATTTATAGATGTAGATTATTCATAGGTTGAAAGAGAGAAGCCCTGAGATTAGAAACTGCTGGGAGAGAAGAAAAAAAGATAAGAATAAGAGTAAGCTTTACTTTTTCAGTTATTTTCATTGAGCTAAAAGCAAAGCACAAAACTGCAAAACAGAATTGTTCTCGTATCTCCAAAGTAAGAAAAATTGGGGCACATTTTAGAAACAGGAAAAGGCAAGTATACAAGTGGGCATTTACTTATAATTTTATGGCATTATGTAAGCAGAGAATGAAGAATTAGACGCTCTCACTATTCTCTAGGACTCTGGCCACATCGCCACCTCTGGGTCCTCCGATCTATATACTATGCTTCATGTTTGTCCATTCTACTCAGATTTTTAAATTTTTTTTAAAACTCAGTCATTGTTATTCCATGTTTTGTCTCCCTGAATAAACACATGCTTTCTGCACATTTGTCTAATAATTATGGAATCCGTTGTTGACTCACAGAATCCAAATAAGCTAATTCAGGCAAATACCAGAGGCAGGGATGAGCAGAAAAACATGCCACAAGGACACTGCTTAGGAATGTTAAACACAATAAATGTTGTCAGTCCCCCATAGTTTAAGGCAAAGGATGTTTCAACCTAAAAGTGAATTCTCCAAAGAGGGTGGATTATCTCAGTTTTAAAAGCCTCATAAATGCTAAAGTTTATTTTAGAAATTCTATTTGTAAACCATGTTTCTTTCATTGTTTTCATATTTCCTGTAGCTCCAAAAGAGCTAATGTAATAAATAGTAAATCACAGTTTTTTTCTCTTCGTGTATGACTCGTTCTCACGTCTAGAAACATACTCCTGGTTCACACAATCTGGCTACCTCTCTCGGTGAGGAACGTGAGAGGTTAAAATGGGAGGGAATAAGTATGTGTTACTTTATAACAGAACATGGAAAATGAGTGGGATAAGGATTCCTGGTGATCATCCAACCCAACCTCCCTTCTTTTTCACTTAAGGAACTCGAAGTAATGAAACCTGCCCTTTGTCCCTGCGTATACATTTGGCGAGGAGAAATATTTGTATCTCACAGAAGTCTCATTCCTCAGACATGCTGATCACCAGGAGTGAAAGAGGTTGCCTTACACACTCTAATACACTTCACAGACATTCTGCATCTGGGAAGCCTGGAGCTAAAAATAAAATCAAATAAATTTACCCTAAAACTTACTTTGTTCTGGGGTTCGCAGAAGCAGGGGTTGGGGAAGCAGCTGGCATTCTACATGATTTATAAAGGAGAAAAGCTATATTGACGGTTCGTAACTGTGAAGCAGAGGACATACATGTCTCCTGTGGAGTCTTCTAGCATCCCAGTTGAGCAGAAGAACTGAAGCCTGTATCTGCGGGAGTTGATACCTGGCCAGACCCGCCCACTTCCCTCTTGGGAGTTCTCCTGCTGGCAGCTTGCTCCCCATCCACTGGGTGCTCTGCCTTGTACTGGGGGAAATAGTGCCAAGGGCAGGAGAACTTTGGCTCCCTCTTCCATCAGGAAACCAAGCGGATTCCCTGAAGAATAAGTATGTCAAGTGTATCAAAGGTAGTGATTTGTTATGTGAAACCCTCGATTCCTTAGATGTCCACCAAGCAGTGGAGCTGTGTTCAGTCTTTTGTAAGCAAAGCACACGTCAATCCACAATGCCACACAGACTAAGTATAGCATCAAGTTTCTTTCCTTTGGCTTAAATTCTCTCACTCAGTGGTATTATCTCAAGCTTATCAGGAGCTCTGAATAGCTGCTAAACATATCTTAGATAACTAAAACTGAAGAAATCATTATCCATTAGATGAAAATCAGGTTCCTTGAGAGACTACATAATATAATAGAAGATTTTCATGGGTATAAAAAAAGGTTTGGAAGTACTGGTTTTATGAAATCTTACACCAAGCGAGTCTTCAAAAATTATCTAAGAGAAACCCCCTCCCCTATTCCAGCTCCACCCCCCCCAAACCTCCTTCCACCCCTTGGTTCCAAGACAGACTCACTGGGCAGGGCAGGGAGGTTTTCCTGTGAGGGGCGGCCAGTGGTCTGTGGCGTTCTCGGAGTCCTCTCTCATCTTCCTCTCTCAAGCTGTGACCCCAGAAGCTGCTCATCCATTTGGCAAAAGACACATCATCATCATCATCATCTTTATGCTCCATGTAAAGGTGATGCCAAATATTGAAGGCCTGTCCCTAAATCTGACAGAAGGAAATATCACCCAACAGGGCTGACAATGAGACCCAGGGTCTCCCCCAAAAGACAAAATGAAGCTGGTATTTTAAAATGGTCTCCGACAATGGCATCCTTAAAAGAGAAAGATTTACTAAACAACCACTTCATCATCAGGCAGCCTTGGGCAATGTCTATTTATAAATTGTGCAGCCCACATTCCCCTCCCCCTTGTCTTTTTAAATTGAGAGGCTTTCTAATCCTTCCATTGCTGGGGCTTGTGCCTCGCAGCCTAAGGGTGGGAAGCACAGTCCACTGCCTGGTTTTCCCTGTGCCTTGATGCCAATGGCATGTGATGGCATCTCTAGCTGTCAATGGTGATGGAGTATGACCCTCACAATATGCCTGTCAGCTCCAGGCTAGCTCTGAAATGGGGCCACATACAAGGAACAGACTGACCGCAGCTGGCAAGGTGGCCAGCTGTTGGCATGTCATATCAAGAGCTACATACTCCCCTAGCAAATCAAATTCATATTGATATAAAACCCAACTCCTGGGCCAAAGGGAGTCATTTTTTAAATGGCAAATTTTCTTATACATGTACAAATGTAAGTAATGTACAAGTAAACGTAAAATTTACAAATCACAAGTGCACAACTTGATCAATTTTTACACACATATATCCTGTGTTACCACCACCATGTTGGTGAAGACATAGAACATTTCCAGCACCCCAGTGGGCTCCCTTTATCCCCCTTCCAATCCATACCCCCTTCAAAATGTTACCATTCCTGACCTCTGTCATCACAGATGAATTCTGCCTGTTTTTGAACTTTCTTTCTATGGCATTACACAGTGTGTATTATCTTATGTCTTTTAACATTATGTCAGTGAGATTTATCCATGCTTTTGCAGTAACAGTAATTCATGCTGTGTACTGTTATGCTACATAAATATCTCACATTTTAAAAATTTTAGTCTGCTACTGATGGTCATTTTGGGTAGTTTCTAGTTGGGGCTATTATAAAATAAAGCTTCCGTGAAAATTATAGCCTCTGACTCCTAGTGGACATCTTTTTTCAAGGTAAAGAGAGCATTACATTTATGGAGCCAAGTACTTCACATATGCTAATTTCATTATAATAACGCTGTGACTAGGAGATTTGCATCACATTTTGTTGATGAGGAAGTTGAGATTCAAGTAGATCATCTCTTGCCAGGGTGAAATTAATACTAAGGGACAAAGCCAAGTTTGAAGCAAGGTATAACAAAGTTCATGCTCTTTCCACCATTTTGCTGTATTCCAAGAGACCTTTCAGAAATCTTGCACTTTCAAACAGGAATTCTTGGCTGTTTGCCATATGAAAATCCTTCCTTGTGCTGCAGAAAAGATAAGCTTGATAACTATGACCAATGTTTGCAGAGCACAGTACGGCACCTTTTCTGTTACTAGGGAAAAGCAAGCAGTGCTTAAAATGGTTTGCAACATTTTTGTCTCTTGCAAGTGACCATGAACTCCTGTGTTGTCACAACTCATTGCTGGAGGAATAAAGCACATCCTGTGGGACTTCATTGGAACAGAACTTTTAGAAGCTTGAGGCTGGTTTCCTTCAGTCTTCACCCTACATGCCTTTTCCATTTTTCTTTTCCAGTTTTGCTTGGTAACCTTCCAATGTAATAAATCATACCCATGAGTACAATGATATGCTCAGTTCTAGCAAATCTCCAAACTGGGGATGACAGTTTACCATGAGCACCTGCAAGTGACATAGGCATCTGACATCTGCAGGAGTCAGAGTAGGATTTGTAAAACAACCCCAGCTCACTGAAATATAGCTAAAGCTGTCTTTAGGAAAAGGCAGGATGAAAGGGTCACTAAGATGAGCCTGCAATGTCCAATGGCTACCTAGTCATCCGTGGTATGAATCAGCTGCTGAGATGATGTCTGTTGTGAGAGGTAAAATTTACCTGTAGAATTTGAAAATGATGGATCCAACCCCAGGAGAACTGGTTCATGGGATTCCTTGACTGCTTCTGGCCATGATAACTCAAAGGAGGGGATTAAAAAGTGCAGCCTGGGAAATGCCTTTGGGTTTCATTCTCTCCTCTAGGTGAGAGGAGAGAGTGTCCATGCACTCTCAAAACACATTTTGTTTTTTTGGGTTTGTTTGTTTGAGTTGGAGTCTCACTCTGTCACCCAGGCTGGAGTACAGTGCCACTATCATGGCTCACTGCAGTCACAACCTCCTAGGCTCAGGTGATCCTTCTGCCCCAGCCTCCTGAGTAGTTGGGACTACAGGCCCATACAACCAGACCCAATTAATTTTTTTGTAACGACAAGGTCTTGCCACGTTGCCCAGGCTGGTCTCAAATTCCAGGACTCAAGTGGTCCTCTCACCAAAGAGGTAGGCATGCACCTCCACTCCTGACCCAAAACACATTCTGAATGGGCCAAAAATGTTAAAGGTTTGTATTGCTTTGTACTCCAGGTAAGAAAGAAAAAGATTAAGACAATTCCAAGAGTAAGGACAAGGGCTTTAGACAAATGAGAAAGAAAGGGAAAAGGAGAAATAAGACCCCACCCACTGGCACAGCAGCTCCTTGCATTCTAGCTAAGAATCTCTGCAGCTGTAATATGAATCCTATACATACTGAATTGACTACCAGGAGTTCGAGCAAACCTGCAATGAAAAGAAAACCCAGATTTTTTAAAATGGCTTTTATTGTGTGGCTATTATACTGAATATATGACAAAAACTGATATAAAATATAATATGCTTATAATCTCATAAGTGCTAGCGGGGTTATCCCCATTAGGGAAAGCTGCCCAATAGAAAGTGTTAGTAGAACATGACCTTTCTTGCTCTCTGCCTCTGGTAAATGAGTTACAATTTAATCTCTTTGAGCATTGAAATGTCCATGACTGGAGAATTTTGCCAGGATGGGGAAAGGCTGACAGCATATGAGAGATCACCTCCACTGGACCATACACTTTGAGTTCTAAAAAGCAGTTTGGGGTTTGATAATATGTCCTTGTAAAATCAGAGGTCTGACCATTACAAGTTGATGATTTTCCATACTGATGTGCTTTGTGTTTTTTTTGAGTGGATTCACTTAGACTCTCAACCTGACAATACAAAAAGGGCTTAGAAAAGCTGTGCTTGTCACGTGGACTTGGAACACAGCTGTTTGGCCCTGTCACCTCTTGGCTTTGCTGCTGCTAAAAAAGAAAAGTCACTGGCTTTTTTGAAGTCCTGAATTCACACATCCTAACCGCCTGGAGCAGTTTCAGTGAACTGAAACCTGACTGCTCCAACCCCTGAAAGCAGACATAGGCTCCACAAAGAGAACTCAGACTCTGGGATGATGGCAGGTCTGTTTACAACACCCCTCTGTGGGGCCATCGCAGATGCTAGCTGGACCACATGGGTCACTTGCAGATGCCCATGGGAAAGGGTTTGTTCTCTGATGGGACCATTTGAAATCAAGCTGTTGATGGAACCAGTTGCACTGGAAATGACCGATCACTAGAAACCTGTCAAAAGGGACAAGTTGGCAGAGAGCATAACCCTGGGAGGGGAACTATTCCCTGCACTCCTGACAGATGGGGCTCACGACCCTTCCAAAGGATGTCACACTGCTGCTACCTGTGTTCAGCTTGCTGGATTATTTGACATTTTTTGCTCACCACTTTCGTTAGGCAGTCAGATTATGAAACGCAGCTGTCCCCAGACAGAGATCGATCTTGTCTAGGCTGCTTCCTGAATAAATGATCAGACCAACAGGGATACAGGGGCTATAAACAGCTTCCGAAAACTTTTGAAGACTTAGGATTTTGTCCTAGTCAATTCCTGAACGTGATGTGTTGTTTCTGATTGTTATATAACAAGATGATTTTCCATGTCAATGATTTTGTACCTCTGACTCCCAGTCCTTCCTGAGAAGAGTTCTAAATGATAATTAAAAAGTGGGTGGGAAAAATGTAGAGTTAGGATTTCTGAATGAGTCACACTGCTTTGTAATCACAGAGAATAAACAAAAACCCAGCACCTGTGGACATGTGAGGGAAAGAAGGCATCAATGCTCTGTTTTTCAGAATTGCTCCTGAACACCAGCGTTGCCCTTCCAAGACGCGGTGAGGTTTTGACTTTCAACTGACTGCTGAGCCTGTGATGACACCTCACAGTGCAGACTATGAGCCAACAGGGGTGTGATCTCAGCTCCCACACTCTCCAAGAACATCTCCAGGTGTTGGCCACGCTCATGAGGCAAATGAACTGATGTCATAGACAAGCAAAACTGACGGAAGCTAACAGCCTTCAGACAGTCCTTCTTTCTTTCTTTCCTTGTTTGCTTCAGAGACAGGGTCTAGCTCTGTTACCCAGGTTAGAGTGTAGTAGTGTGATAAGAGCTTATTGCAGTCTCAAATTCCTGTACTTAAGAGCTCCTCCCGTAGACCCTCCTTTGACTACAGACATGTGCCACCACACTCAGCTAATTTGTTTGATTTTTTTGTAGATATGGGGTCCTGCTATGTTGCCCAAGTTGTTCTCGAACTCCTAGGCTCAAGCAATTCTCCCACTTTGGCCTCCCAAAGTTGAGATTAATGGCATCAGCCACCACGCCCAGCCCTTCTAAAACCAAGAACTGAATTATTTTAACTTGACAGGGAACTCTAAGATAAAAGTCCCCACAGTGAGAAACCACACTGGGGTCCCATTAAACTGTATTGCCTGACGAATGCATGTTCTCACTGGGGTCACTTAATAACTCAAACTCTTTGTTTCCAAGGATACTCTCTGGGATTGTACCTTTTGTGTGTATACATTGACTGTCACATACTGTCTTGATCCCTAAAGGCATGCCAGCCAGCTTCAAATTACTGGCCAGACGTGTGCTGTATTTGAATTGATACTTCGAGCCAGATTAAAAAGATTAACACAAAAACTTACAAAGAAAGTCACCTGGCTTCCTAAGATTAATCTTTATAGTTAATGGGATTTGTTGTAATTGGCTAAATCCA